CTCAACATTTCGGGCGACATGACTAAAAAATGACTAAAAATTTCGGACGACCTGACCATAGTCTCAGGCGAGGCGACCTCGGGCGACGTGACTGTCAGTTCGATTAGGTATAAAAATAAGTGGATCTATCCAGCTCGGAAAACGAGCGCTTCAAAGCTAAACATGTTTGTTTCCCACGCTAAACTGACCTTCTCAGTCACAGAAAAACAGAGATCAGCTGAACCAACTGCAAAAATTAGTTTTGGGAAGCGGCCATGTTCTGAAATATCCCTCCCTCCCGGCCAATGAGAGCGTCGAAGGTGTTCAGCTCAGCCACCTGGCCTTCTCTTAGCACTAAGATTAGGTCACAGTCTCTAACGGTGTTTAGCCGATGAGCTATAGTGACAACAGTGGAATTCTTTAGTTTCTCGTGTACTGTGGACCAGATCGTTCTCTCTGTGTAAGGATCTACATTCGCCGTCGGTTCATCTAAGATGACAATCTTACTTTGCTGTAGTAAGGTGCGAGCCAAGCAGATCAACTGCCGTTCACCGACGCTCAGGTTCTCGCCTTTTTCCAACAGCTCGTAGTCAAGTTTTCCTTCGAGGCCTTCAACCAAGTGAGTAAGTTTCACTTCTTCAAGGACATTCCATAGCTCAGCATCTCTGTGTTTCTCCAAAGGGTCCAGGTTCTTCCTAATCGATTCACTGAAGAGAACAGGCGATTGACTGAGAACCGAAATGCATCTTCTCGATTCCTGCAGCTGAATGCTCGTTATGCATACATCGTCAATGAATATCTCTCCTTCAGCTTCAGGCATGCGCAATAGAGCTGCCACAATAGACGACTTTCCATCTCCCGTTCGGCCTACGATGCCAAGTTTAGTTTTTCCCTCAACTTCAAAGCTTAGATTTTTCAACACTTGTGGTCCACCTGGATAATACCTCAAGACAACCTTTCTGAAGCTCACGTGACCATCATGAGGCCAGTTGGTTGGTGGACCTCTTTCAATGCTATATCCCGGCTCTGAGTCGAGATTGGTGTAGGCCATCACTCGTTCGACTGACGTCATAAGATTCTCGACTTCTGAAAATTGTCGCACAGCGTATTGGGAACGTTTGGCGGTTTCAATAACGTAAGCAAGAGCGAGGCCAGCTGACGCTGAAACGAATACAATTCGTTTTGTTAGATCTCTGTTTAAAATTCTTAAATTAAAGAGTAACAAATTTTATCGACGCACATTATATTAGCATACAAGCAAGCGGGTAATGTGAATTTTACAACCATAACCGTTTCTCCTTCAAGTAGGGTTTACCGAACGTCCAAGATCGTTAAATTCAGGCAAAGCTAGAAAAAGCAATGGCCATTTACCCTATCATTTTTCATTTTATTACTTAGCGCGCGCTCTCATGCATGACGTGGCGAGTGAATTTGCGTGCGCAGTAAGGATGCGCAGAAACAATTAGCGCGAACGTCCTTAAAAGGGGAAAGCATTCTTTGGGACGAGGATGTGATTTTACTGATGTACCTGCCCAAAAAGTGTAAAAATAAAATAAAATCACCGAGGGCTTAGCTATTTTATTTTAATATAATATTTTTCATGGCCAGTTTGATTTATCGGTTTAAGTTATAATTTGTTTTACCTGGATGTTGCGATAGCAGGACAGAAGTGAAAGCCACTGTAGAGATTAACACTGCACACAGCAAATCAGCTCTTACTGCAAGCCACCGTGTACTCGCTATCACCATAGAATACACTTGATTATGTAGATCTTGATGCCTAGAAAGAGTTCAAGAGCAACATTAATACCATGGAAGCATTTTAAAATAGATTTTCACTAATGCCATTTCTTTAGCTGATCTGTACCTCTGCCAAACCTTAATACTTCTGTTATAAGCATGCACGCGGGAATTTTTAAGAACACCAGAGAAATGCGTAGAGGGACACGAGGCGTAGCAGGGTGCTTCTCGCACTTATTGAGCTGTTCTTAAAAGTGATCTTAAAAAATTACAAATGCTTATATAACTCAAAAATGAACAAGGAGCAAGTTGACTACTTCCTTAATAAAAAACTCTAACTATTGCGCGGGCTCAAACTCGCGATGTAAGCCACGTGCTTTATAAGTGATCATAGTATAGTTAGGACCCTGCGCGCGCTCTGATTGGTCAAAATCCCATGTTTTATCAGAGCATAAAACATAGAAAAAGCGTGTTTTATTGTTTTTCACCGCATTACCTCTATATCATAAAGCAAATGAAGAAGCCTAAGCCGTGTATTACACTGTGTTAAAACACTCCGGGCATTCGAGAACACTCGAGAAATGTAGAAAACACAAGCCAAAGGCAAGTGTTTTCTACATTTCCCTCGCGTTCTCAAATGCCCTACGTGTTTTATCACAAAGTAATACACGGTTTCGGCCTCTTCATTTGTTAAATAAAGCACTTTCGTGACGCGCTCTTTTGAATAAATTGTAATTCTCGATTGACGAGGGGAGGGGAGGGGAGGGGAAGGTGCCTCACCTTGATCCGATACCGAAGGAATTTGATATTGACTTGCAAAAACTGTACATCTTTACACAAAACATTACAGCGCGTACATAATGTTAATATTTTCTATTTTATGTCTCTGTAGTTGTTTTTTATGCATAATTTTGTTACTTAATTAACCTGACAATAACCAGGAGCCCATCTTTGGGAGCGTTCAACTACCCCATATTCCTCTCAGGGCGTTTTCACAGACCGATCTATTTTAAGTTTGAATTTACCGAGAATTCAGACCCCCGCAGGAACCTCAGTGACCAATCGCAAGGACGGACTTAATTTCAACTGACGTTATCATTTCACCGGAAGAAGTGATGGGCTCCTGATATGAGGTAAGCCATTGTTTTCCTTACCGATGCGCGCTCATGTAGACCGCAACAGAACTATTTCGCGGGAAAAGAAACCTAAAAATAGACCGGTCTGTAAAAATGCCGCGACATAGGCTTAAGGTCCGGTAATACGGGCAACATTTTCCTTCAACTTGTCTCGCAACATTGTTGCATTGCAAGTTAAAACACATTGTTGTGCGTATTACCACGTATGTGACCAACTTCTCGCAGTAAAATACAGTGTTGCAAGTCTGCAGAATTCTACACGTATAATTGCTTAATCGCGTGTAAATAAAGATGGCGCCTTCTTTAATATAATTTAGCATTTCGACGAATTTCCACTTCGACTTCTGGCGTCATTTTCTTCTTAATTTTCCGTGCCAGCGAAGTTCTCTCAGTATGAAGCTCAGTGTCGTTTCAGGTAGTTAGGCGAAAAGTTGTATTTTTGCGACAGTTCTTCCAGGCCTTTTGCCTTTTTTCTTGCTTGTTTTGAAGGGACAAACGAGGTGTCCTAAAGACTATGATAGCCCTCGAGGTCTTTGTAAAGGACAAAGTTATGACTTTCCGAGAGTTACTGGTCTAC